AGCCGATTGTTTTAATGTCAACAGGCAAAACAAATAAATTAGCAAATAAGATGCAATATGTAAAGCAAATATTCGATTTTGCGTCGGTATACAGAGTACCTACTTAGTGACACTATGACAGAGTTCTTACTCCCAAGTATCTGGTTAAAAAGACATTCTTTCTATAAGAAAGCATTGTCGCTTTAACCATTGATACCTTATGTTAAACAGCTTTCAGATATAACAGTCACAGTAAATTTAACTCTCATACTTATTGAATTTTTTTGTAGGCTACTCAAAAAATGAAAGGTGAAAAGTTGGTTCAGTAATGTTTACTCGTTCAATGTATTACATAAATTATATTTAAACCAGTTCACTCCATCACATGGGTACAGTTACGTTGGAATTAAATTTAGGGTACGTTAAATACACGACCTTTAATATTTACACATCTCTTTTTCAATCAAAATTAGTACTGTTATGTCCTGAAGAGAAAGTCTAAATATAAATCCATAATACATTTCGGGATATTTTTAAAGGAATTAGATTTGGAATATAGTTGTACATTTGATATTTTATGAACTGTAGGAAATGAGGTTAGTGAATGTGAAAAATTGGCTGTAAACAAAAGGGCAACCCTTATTGTGATTATTGAGATATGATCTTTGTTCGAGGAGTAGAGAGGGTTAGTGCGGAGGGTTCGGGGCGGTCGTTGAACCGGCAGGCGGCCGGAGCGGTCGCGCGGCCGTGCGTTTGGCCGTCGGGGGCGAGCTGCACCGCACCTCGCTGCAACGCGGTCGTTGACTCCCCCATGCTGCAGCGGCTGATGTACGAATTGATTTTAGTTTCACCCCCGCTGACACTCGGGAGCGTTCATTTCGTTACGCGTATAATGTTCACTTCATACTTTGTCAGATTGAAAAAATAATGCGATACCGAAAACATTACGTTTAATTACTCCGTAAACAAGCTATAAATAAAATGAATCGTACATGTTGGGAAATAGGCGGTACATAAGTACATGTCAATATTCGTTCGAAGTCTCTGCTTCGTACTTGTAAATAGACGAACGTTATGTCGATGATACTTCTCGTATAATCCATCGTCGTGGAAACTTAACAAAACAGATCATAACGAAGGTATAGAATCAGACGACAGCCGGCGTGACGCACTAGACCTGAAAATTGCATTCAAAGGCTTGCCTCCGCCTCGTTGATAAAAGCAAAGGTTCGGTGTAGACTAAAATACTTATGCATTATTATTTTTTCTATTTGATAGTACATGAGAACATTTAATACACGTAGATGGAAAAATATACTTCTCATGTTTCATACCTAACAGTTCATTATAACACAACTAAAGAAGTTTATTTGGAATTTAATGAATAACACTGAAATTCCAGACGCTCTATCGCTGCGCCTACAGTCAGAGTTGTATGTAAATATTATATGATTATGTATAAAATATGTTTTTGTCAATATTCATAATTATTTTATCGTTGTGAAGGTAACACATTAACACTATTTCACTATTTAATAAAAGCATTTCCAGTAGTAAATATCTACAGTAAACATGGTATATATATTTTGGACTAAATTTGTAGAGAATAGTGTAATACCGCCCAGTCTATTTCTGTAACGAAGCAGTTGTGTGCTAACTTTATTGCGTTCTGGTTAGATTGGTGTCGTTTACAAGCAAGTCCCTTGAGGAGCATATTTTATGTTCCAAATGAATGAATACAAACGCTATGCTGCAGTATAACATTAGGGCATTTTTTTTTAAAGACGACCCTTCTTAGGTTTACCCGTTATATCCTACCAAAGTTTCATTACAATCTTTCTAGGAACACAAAGGAATGCACGTTTTGATTTTACTCAATCGGAAAAGACTAATCGCATTGCGCGCGTATGTCGTGTGCCAAAATCAAATCCAAAAATACGCCTTGGGTCAATCAAAAATAATTGTTACTCAGTTTGTAAACAATATGAAAGAATAATCGTACTCGAAGTAATTTGAAACAATAGATGTGCGTATCAGTGTAGTATGTAGTGACGGCAGGATAAACGTCCGGAGTCAAGGAAGGTCATGTTGGAATAACAAATCGGTAGCAAGTCGTTGTCGTCGTCTCGTCGGCGAATTCACGTTTTTGCTCGCGTTGCACCGCCCCCATCTCCCCGTCTCTCCTTCGCCCCTCGCACTCCCCGTACACGTTCTGATACAGACTTGAATCAAATATTCGACGAACACCCTTCGAAGATTTTCATTCTGCTAAGTACGTTTACCTGGCCGACAGGTAAGTATAACTTGTGTCTACCTGCCTGTCCCACCTGAACGATTATTCATCCGAATGTTTATTTGTTGCCGCTGCACACATGAACGACGCGACTCGAGAAGCGCGATCGAATCGAAACCGGACGGGCTTATTTTAAACGGGACGTTGTTGCTTGGTTTAGGCTAAAGGTATCTACCGTTAGAACTGACAATATGGTAGCTATACAGCCGACAATAATACTGCCTTTTTTTCTCTGAAGGCGTAAAACTATAATTAGCGCGATTTTTTTTCGTAAATAGCATCATGGTACTAATTTTGTCATCCATACTTAGGAAAACTTGTTATTCTTTGATAATCAGAAGACTTATATTTTTTTGCCGTATTTCCAGTACTATTGACAAGCAGTTGGTAATTTCTAAGAAGTGGGGAGTGCTCTATACTCTATACTATTACGGTGCAGCTTTGTTGATTACTATATTTTTTTTTCAGTCAAAGTAATATGTATGGAAGCATTGTTTAGTTACGCGTCACGTTTTAAATATGTACATACATATGTTTAGCGTTTCAATGTTATGGAATAAAATCCTATTAGATTCTTGTAAGATTAAATTAATTATATGCCTGTGATCTTTAATAGTTACCAAAATATTTAATGCAATGTTCTTATAAATCTTACGATATTTGAACATCCGTTTAGGTTTGAGTGATTTAGTTCGATTGCTTGGGTATCTTAGCCATACGTTGTAAAATGTTTTAAATTGAAAAACTTCTCTTTTTTTTTCCCTTGCCTTGAAATGTACGTTTAATTCGCTCCGCTACGTCATTTGCCAACGTTATCTTTTAAATACCGCAGAGATGTTTGCACAATACCGTTTGACGGTAGTATTAAGAACCATTGTCTCATCTTCAATTCTAACTAACTAACTTCTAACTAACTAACTAACTAATTTCTAACTGGCGCTATGAAAATCTGCTCCGTAAAATACGAAAATTGCTAAAGTACCTAGTACTAAAATTTACCAGACTTAAGTCCGAACAATTTAGGTATGAATTAGAATTACAACTCAAAGAAACTACAACTTTGAAGCCAGCAATGGTCGCCTAATCAATAATACGAGTAGACATTTCAAAACTCTAGGTAGCGCCGTTTTGTCAAAAATTTACTGTACCCTCGATGTTGTGAAAATATTCACAATCTCTTGTTAGTGATAAATAGGTTGTTTCCAGGTCGATTAACGTGATTTTAATGTATAACGAGATACAACTTGATGTATTCCAATCGTAAAATCTAAGAAACTTAGTCCATTTAATGTAGGTAAATTACATTTTCCATATTAGTATTACTATTGTGAGCAAAGAAATCGAACGGACTTATCCTGATGGACCCATCACCATGAGAACCGTAGCGGTCGTTCCTCAGCGCCAGTGGCCCTTCGCTCCATCTACAAAACTAAGATGCAATGCCACTTACACATACACAAAATGTACACATTCGTACCTCTTTTATATGTAACTCTAATTTAACAAGCAGTTATTCAATCTAATCATTAAACAAATTAAGAACAAAGTTAATTTACAATATTATGACTTCTGGTCGAAGTTTTCCTAGTCTCGGTTACCAGGTCATGTCAACGAACAAAAGAATGCCCTTGATTAAATTGATACCTTTTGTCCTCTTCAGTTCCTTTTGTAAATCTTTTAAAATTCAACAAAATATGCGATTTTAAACGTTTTCGCACAGTAGGATAAAACTAGTTTCTGTGTAGTAATTATTTTAACAACGAACGAACAAAAGGTGTCATTTAATAGAGATCAGGGGCAGTATATAATTTAATTTATTATTTTTAATGCATAAATAAATTTATCTAAAATTAAGTTCCTTAATAATTAGCTTGATGTCACATCACCATCTCATCATTATAATGAAAATGAATGTGTTATTTACTATTATGTATTTAATAATCGTATACCTACTGTGTTCATCTTCATATTGTTTTCGATTTAGTCGTGCCTACTTGGTTGGCAAAGTTGGAACTGGAGCCAGTGTTGCTACTACATAACTACCAACTCCTTTAGTAGTAAATCTAAAAAAATAACTTCACTTCAAATTTTTCTATCTAAATTGTATCTAAACTGTTACATTGTTGATACCCTACTTGATCTCTTAAAAGAAAAAACAACTTTTTTCTTCTCTTTTCCAACGTTGCCATCTTGTATTTACCGACCTTCGAACCATTTTGTATTACTTTATTAAAGTACCATAATTATAAAATGCCACACTTTTTCATAACCAACATTAGTTACTCGACGAATACTGCTTATTCCATATTTCATGTTATGAGTTTATAATTAAATTTAACTTTAATTAACAATGGAATTTTTTACCTTCAGTTTAAAAAATGGTCTTAAAAAAATACTTGTAGACTTTGGTAAAAATTTTAGAACGTACATGGCAACATTACGTTTGACAGTTAGCCAGCTGTGTGTAGATTGAAAAATATGTCGAAAAGCGTATCTGTAGCTGTCCTTGATGTGTCATCTACTTCGATAATTTCATCAAAACGTGGTATTTAAATAGTGAATTTAGGCTTATAATCGTGTTTAATAGTGTTTTTAGAAACATCCTAACTGATTTTGTACATGACTTCTTTGCATCGGTGGCAGGTAGCTTGTACTAATTATTTGTTAAAATGTTTATGTAACGCAGCATTGTTCACATTGCTGACTGTATATTTCATCTTTGTTCCAGATAGCTGCGCAGTGAATATCAGTAGGTGCGGTGCGGTGCTTTATAACGAACGCAAATATTGTGTGCAACGAGTGTGACGTTAATCGATTAGGTGCGTTTTGTGGTGATGTGTTAGTGAGAAGGTGGTATTTACGTGGTGCGGTGGATGCAGAGACAGTGGTGTAGCGGACGCCCGGGCATGGTGCCGGACAGGTAGCGGGCGCGGGCGGCCTGCGCAGGCCCCACACAAGCAGCCGCGTGTGTCTCCCAGCGTCGTCTATGGCCGAGCAACACATCACACCGTCGTCGCACTCTGCACTCACGAGAGAGTCCAACGGGTGAGTCAAATCTGTAAAATTCTATTACTGAAAATCTAAAAAGCCAAATGCTAAGCGACCATTGACCTAAGTACTAGCGATTAATTCACTGGTTTACATTGAACTTACCACAGCTGAATTTGTGTACTATTACTACAACTCAAGTGTGTACATCATACATACATACCTTTCATGCAAAGATCTGTTTTTAAAGTTCTTGTTTAATCTATCCATTCTTTTACTCTTGGCCGAGTCTTGCTTATCGGAACAACAGTTCAAATTGAATTTGGACATTACAATAATAACACTGTTTTGAGTAATTGTAAAAAACAAAAAGCTTATTTATAGTTTTTGACATTAGTTGAGAATTGTTTATGCAGTATTTGACCAAGTAGTGATAGATGTGAGTTTAATTCTGTAAAATGTTTAGTGTGTTTGTACTTTTTGAATATAGATTTGATTTTTATAAATCCTGTAGCTCTATTTAGTCTAGATTTGTAGCTAATTTCATTGTTTAACACCCTATTTCTAAAAAGTAGCCCTAGATTTTTAACTATTTTTATTTCTGACCTCATGCGAACTGCCTTCAAATATTTTCATACAAAATTATTACTGTGTAGTGTTCAATATCATCATAAAAAACATTTTTTTAAAAAGTTTCTATCTTCTAGGTGTAAATGAAGAGATGTTTTGAATTAAATGGATAATGAGGAATTAGTTGTCATAATAACTTAAAAAAATACAAATGAAAAACTCTTACAAATTCCAACAATTTAGGAAATGTACATTGTACATAATAAATCTAGAATACCACTTATATTTTTTTAATGATTAGTCAAAATTATTGTTGCAATATGAGTCACTGCTGTCAGCCATTTTTTGATCGTCATTGACTCACAAATTCAAGTGTGACAGTTGTATTCATGAATTACAAAATTATTTTCAAGAATTCTTGGAAATATGGAAACAATTTTCTTTTTATAAAGGCAATGTATGGTTGAATTCATAGAAATGAGAATAAATACATGTCACTGGCTGATATCCTTTGTTGTCTATGGATTAATTTTTTGATTTCTTAGTTTAATTGAATTTGACTGTACATTGTTGTATTTTAATTTAAAAAAAACATACTGCTTTTTTCTTTTATTTGTCTCCTATGGATATAACAACTTCCAGGTCTTCTAGCAATTTCAATCAGTTGTCCTCTTTTATTATTGTACAAATAATTTTACAACACAAATAAATAATTATATTTAAAGTTGTTTAGATTCTATTGCTAATTGAATATGCAACACAATTTTTGTTTACTACTGATACTGAGACATCTTTTTATTAAATTTTTTTCAAGGAAGAGAAGAGTGTCGATTGTTTTTGGAGATCTTTTGACCAAGAAAACATACAGTAATACCACAAAAATTCATAGACACCATTCATACATTTTTGAATAATTTTATTTTTATATGAACATAGAAGAGAATAATTAATATGTCCCAAATGCACATAGCATAAATTTCTTTCTTAGATACCAAATCCAACAATATTTATAGCTAAATTTTCTGTTAATGTAATATGTATTTTTACTGACAGTGTGTCTTGAATTATAAAATACTAGCTTTCGCCCACAACTCTGTCTGTGTGGATTTAAAGAAAAACAAAAGTAAGTAGCCTATGTACCCTTTCATAGTATACTGTACATCAATTCAAGTTACAAAACAAATTCAATCTTTGACAATTAAGTTAATTACTTAAATTACTTTAATGTGAAATATAAAAATAGTATGTCAATTAAGTCATATAATTAAAGATAATCACACAAACAAAATAATTGCTTTTAGACAATATTAGTTACAGCAAATGTTTTTGTTTACAACTGAACTATATAATTTTAACTTGAATACAAATGAACTACACCAAATGATTAAATTGTTTAAACTTTTGTCAGAAATTAATAAAGTAAATAAAAAATCAAATTAATAAGTTGATATCCTTTGAAATAAAATACCATAGTTTTTTTTGACAAAACTCTTGCCGTTATGTGGCTAAATTCATATTTGTATTGATGCAAATTTTGAAACTTATTTTGAAAACAATGTAGACTTTAATAATGTTTACTTTTGTAATAAATTTTTAATATGGCCATAATTAACAAACATCTTTTAAAAACAATTATTGACAAAATAAAGTAAACAAACACTGTTCCTGTTAACATTATATTTGGCACAAGCCAACCTGATTTGTTTGTTATATTCATATTTATGTGACATAAAGTAAAATGTAAAATTTATTTGCTTGTACTATGTATAAAATGTTGATTATTCAGTAATTAAACACCCTTTCATTATAAATGCTCAGACAACTTGAAGTATGCTGGCTTCATATAATTGTTAAAATTATCACATTGATGTAAATATATGAGTATAAAAATGATATATGGTAAGAGAGGTGCAGCAAAAATGCAAATGCAAAAATTATTAAAAATCAGTGTAATAGGATAGAAATTATTAATGGAACAAGAAATGATTCATGTTTTTTATTGTCTAAAGCACGATCTCTTAACAAATCCTAATCTTTTCTGCAATCGTTTTTGTACATCCTGGATATTGATGTATGTCTAAACACATATAAACAATTAATGTAAAATGTTAAATACATTATTTATGGTATTGTAATAATCATTCATATTAAGACTCAGGAGAAACATAAAGCTAAATATAGTTCAAGAATATAAAGCTAGCTGTGGATCTATACAAGAACTGATAAGACTATCTGCTTACAATGGCCTAACAATAACTTATTATGCTGTTGTTCTTTTCAATAGATAACTGCAGAACTCAGTTACGTCATTGGTAATGTTATCTACGTTTGTAAAACTCTAGTTATAATTCTTTGGTATACAGGTCTTCTCCTAGCAGGGTGGTGGGCGGTCGGTGGTTGCGTCAGGTGCGTCAAGCGAATCGCAGCCGCCGCAACCGACGCAACGTGACATCGCCCCTGCCGCGCCATACCAACCGGCACTCGAGTCGCGCCGCCGCCGACGCTGAAGCTGAGCCGCGCAGGCACGTGGAGCTAAGGCGAAGCTCGCGCCTAGTCAACGCACTGCCCAGGTCCGACTACTCAATATCCGAGCGCTGGTCCTACGGAGCCGACTTCTACGAGACGCGCTACGACACCGACTACAGGAGCGGAGACTCCTGGAAGTACACGAGCGGCACCAACGCGAAGCGTGGCCGGAACTCGTCATCGTATGACCGAAAAAAACATAAACATCGCACAGTTACGACAAGCAGTGCCGCCACAGAGGAGTGCGTCGCGTACTGCACACGCTCGCGAACTGCTCTCAAATCGAACGAGAGTGCTTGTGAGCCATCACCGAACACTTTAAAACCGCAGACGTTACCACGATTAGCCGTAAATCATAACGCTACTGCGACATCAGCGCAAGAGTGCCCGTTGAATTCGTCCGAAGGTGGTCTTCTCCCGTTGGACGAAAGAGATTACGCATATTCCCCGTTCAGTTCGTCGACTATAACAGAGCTTCTCGATTCTGATTATTCCGTGTACAGTCCTACCGCGCACCGCAGGAAGGGCAAAAAGAGGAAGCGATCCACACATCGTTCTCTGTCGACGAGGAAGAGTAGTTGCCTAGTAGATATCGAAGATTGCAAAAAGAAGTTTAAGATAGATCCGTACAAGGAGGTGGAGGAAGCAAGCGAGCACGCTATATCTGAGTGCCGACAGGAGTACGATTCGGAGAGGCCGGAGTCAGTGGCCGCGTCGCATACCTCGTGCACGTACCTACTGCGCAACAGGCACCGCGACCTTGGCCCGCCCACCGCCACTGTTATTAGCGATAATTCAGGTAATCTACCAATAACAATTATTATCGTTAAAAGTGTTACAAACCTCTAGCCAATAATACACATCACTAATGAGTTATGTTACATAGATATTAAATGATTCGTCCAAATACATTTTCATATTTGTGTTGTGTTTTTTCAATGGGTATACTTTATCTTTAATAATAATTGCTTTCAAATAATGTTAAATTATATTATACAAAACATCAGTCTAGCCGCGGAGTTTATCAAAACCTTTATCGCGTGTATCAAGCGCGTGCATTCATAACTGATAATTTGTGTTTATTGTGACCGTATTTAGTGTAACACATTTGCTTTTACAGCGACCACTTCCACAAACGAACCGGCCCTCAATCAGTCGTTGATCGAACGGAGAAATACAGAATTTCGTGGAAGAACTGTTACTCCACCACCCTATAAGGATTTACAAGGTAAATAATTAGTTAATGTGCTAAATGAAATTTTTAAGTCATTAGCTAAAATTATTATTCATTTGCTAATTAATTGGTGTGTCTTGCAGAGGCCAGTTCATCAAAAGCGCCTGCAGAAAGTAAGCTACTTATCGTTCCTCGTGACCTTCCGTATTTACGACAAACTAACGCACGTAGGGTAAGTACTGTTATAACATTTTTTTATTAAAATTATGTATGTTTTGTGTGTTTATAATAAAATGATTGTGGTGCAGAGTATCGCTGCTGCGACGGGTGCGACCCTGGGTGCTTGCTTGACGCGGGGGGCTGGCAATTCGCAGCGGCAGAGGCAGGAAGCTGCTTCTAAACGACAGGTATGTTTTTGTAATTAATATAATCTACATTATTAACTTTAAAATAACCTGTTCGAACTCCTAATATCTTTTTATTTTCGTTTATGCTATATGTATTTTATAAGAATAAACTTTTTGCTTTAGTATTTATTACATAACTTTTTATGTTTCAAGTTTTCTATACTTGTGTAAATTGTCATGATAAAAGTACTTGTTTTGTATTTTCTTATCTTTGTTGAAGTTCTTAAACCACATAACACACTTTATGGCTATTTTGATGCTATTCACTAGAGAATTGGAAGACGCATCGTTTTAACATATCAAAAATACTATTCTACATTAAATAAAACTATACTGAAGTATACACAAACAGTAAATTTGTATTATTAGATGATAGTGTCTTTACAAAATGATTTTTGAAATCTGTGGTATTAGAACTTCAACGACGATATTATGTGTGTCTAACAGTATGGTATGTTGTATGTGTGCAGGTGTCGGGTGCAGAGGAGGCGGGCAGCAGTGCGGCGGGCGGGCGGCGAGCGCGGGCGCGCGACATGCCGCAGCCGCAGCCGGCATCCACGCGACGAGACAAACGAGGTACTACACATAAGTTTCATTTACCTCAAATTATGAACAATTTAATATTTCTCCCGGTACATTTTTCTGTTTGTATATTTGTTAATAAGTATTTCATGCATGAATGAAATGTTAAGTGTAAATATATGTGTGATTTCTAGGCAAAACCAGTCTGGGTTCGTGTGCCAGTACAGGTGGTGCGTCCAGCCGGTCTCACCCCCAGCCATTAACCACGGTAAATAATATATTTCTATAATGTGATCGGATTAATCAATATTTCGTCTAATACAAGCTAAATCAAAAAAATCTTTATATTCTCTTTGCCT